AGCTCAAGGCCAGCCTGAACTGCATAGCAAGATACTGTCTCAAAAAGGGAAAAAACAAAATTGTTTTTAATTGGTAAGAGTTACTTTTGTACTGAAGATTAATTTTTAGGTTGTGACTATTTTCTCTTATGTGCTGGACTCTGTTAGTCTCTATTTCTGGAGTTCTTGTTTCAGAAGACCTCTGCCATCCTGAACTTGATGTTACACAAATAAAGTATCTTGTTTTATTGACTTGCTTTTTTGTAGGTAAGTCTCTAAACTGTCTGAGATTTCACTGAATACTGGTATGAAGGGTTCTGTTTCCCCAGATGAGCAACGCTGCTTCTTGAAGAAATCAGATGCATAGATAAGTTCCCCAAGTCCTGTGGAACAAAGAAAATCAATATGCCACTCCAAAAAATTGGTTGACAGATAAAGCCAAAGCTTTTTCAAAAAGGGCCTGGAATGTGTTTAAATACTTGGACATGTGTTGGTAGTGTTAGTGAAGACTGTGAAGTTAATTACATCAAGAATAAAAAGGGACAGTGATGTGGAGTTTATTACTACTAGTAAGCTTTTTTTAGAACCTCTGAAGTGTTTGTAGTGCAATCTTCTCACTACTCACTTGCCTGTGCTTGCTTTTTATAATTAAAAAAAATCCTTTATGTAAGCAAGTGTCATAGTTCTTGGCAGTTCTGACTAGACATTCAGACAGCCTAGTTTTGAAAGGTTTGCCTCTTTTTTAATTGGCACATACTGCTCAGAGTACTTGTATAGTGATGCCATGAACAGTGGTGGAAAGCTATGAAAATCAGGCAGTCCTTCAGGATAACTGTTAAGACTTAAGAGGTGGGGATGTAGCTCAGTGGTGCAGCACTTGCCTAGCACATGCAAGGGCGTGTTTTAGATTCCCCCAGCACCACAACTTAAAAAAGCAAAAACAGTTTCTAACTTTTCAGGGTCTGAACCTTATCTAAGTAATGTAGATATATGCTGAAAAGGAAAATGTGAGAAAATCATGGGTTTGAACTTGGCCATTATTAGGTCTTTTTCTGTTACATCAGTGCACCCCAGGTTTGTTTCACTTAAACTCACCCGCTAAGCCCCCTTGAGTTAGATCTTTCTACTCCTGTGTTTAACAGCAATTTTAACGAGTTTCAGTAGTTGATGTGATTAAGTTGTAGGTGCCAATTTGCCTTCTTAATACCCCTCCTCTGAATGTAGTATTTCTGTGAATGGGGCTGCATTTCCAGATACAGGACAGTCACTAACACATCTGCTAATGGAGAGGAATTACCAAGGGGATATTGTGGGTTGTTGGATTTCTTTGGTGTTACGTTTGTATGTGTATTCTAAGAATTTGTATTAGTTTTAGTGAAAGATTTTTTGTTTTCTTTTTTGAAACAGGGTCTTAGTATGTAGTTCAGGCTAGGTTTGAACTCACTCTGTAGGCCAGGCAGACCTCAAACTCAGCGATCCTCCTGCTTTCAGCCTCCCAAGTGTTGGGATTACAGGTACACACCACCACATCCATCTTAAAAGCAGATTTCTGTAGACTGGTCACCAGAAGTATAAAATATGAAATATTAGGATCTATTTTCCCTATAGAGCTTAATTTTTCCCATAAAAGCTAGCAAGGCATGGTGCATCACATGCCTGTAATCCCAGCACTTGGGAGGCTGAGGCAG